GAAATTCCCGACAAGAATGTCTGACACGCAACTGACCGCGATTGATTGATGCTGTTATATATATCGTCATAATTATTAATTACTAATCAAGGGGAGAAAAAATCATTTAGGACAAAAAAAAATAAATCCGGCCCTCTCATTTTGATATCTTGTCCTCCCCCTCCCCCCCCCTCTCCGCCTGAATATCTGGGATATCACGGTCATCACGGTCGTTTCTGTCCTTCCAAATTATATTTTCCTCTTTTCTCTTTTATTATAAAAAAAAGAACAAGTTATCTTTTCTGGGAAAGTAGAAGAGACTACCCCCCGCCCCCCTTTGAAAAAGAAAGAAAAGAAAAATCCACAACCACGCAGGCAAAAATAGTAATAATAATAAAATTATTTGTACTCAAATAAACAATAAGAGAACCTTTGTACTAATTGTTTGCCCCCGAAAACCGGCACACTTTTTTTTTTTTCTTTTGTTTTTCTTTTTTTGAAAACGGCACACTTATTGTGTGGTAGGGTCATCATTTTGGGGCGTGGCTCCACCACTCACCAAGTGCGCAAGATGAGAATGAATCTTCTGCCGGAACACGGGTGGATACATCTGAGTAACACGACCTTTTTTTTTTTTTTTTTTTACTTGAGAAAGCTGTCGTGCATTCATTGAGATCATGACAATAGGAGGCGGGGGGGCCAGGTCCCACTAGCAGCGTTGAGTTTCCTCAACACCTGAATCTGGGCGTGTTTGAGGAGATGTGCGGAAATGGCGTTGAGTTTCCTCAACCGCACATCCCCACAAACACGTCCAGATTCAGGCGTTGAGGAAACTCAATGCTGCTATTGTAGTGGGACTTGGTCCGGGGAATCCCTCCACGTCTCGACCCCAAAGCTGGGGCCCATTACCCAGACTAGGCTGAGCTGGAAAAGGGATCCACCCTCCCAACTCGGCACCCTACAACAAGAAGGTGGGGCCATTACCCAGATTAGGCTTAACCCTACAACCTGAGAATAGTTCACGTGTCCTTCGGGACATCCGTTAAAATTGGAACGATACAGAAAGCCCTGCGCAAGGATGACACGCATAAATCGAAAATAGTTCACGTAAAAAAAAACAAAAAAAAGAACGAAAAAAAAAAAAAAAACCCTTCACAGCTGACCCAACCAATACAGACCTGCCATTTTCAGCTTTAAAAATTTAATTCCTTTTTGATGATGTATAAATAATGGGACGCTGGGGCTGGACCCACTCGCCAAGTATTCTAGGACGTGTGACACAGTTTTATGGTTTTTTGGAAAATACAAAGTGATTTTTTATTTGCATGAATGGATCGTTTTCTGATTTAAAATGAATTGAAATAGCACATAAAAGTATGAAGAACAGCTGTGCACCGGAATTCATGGGTTGGTACTATCTCCTTCACGTAAGTCTTCATACTGATGTACCGTGGCAATAAAATGTGTCCACGAACACAGCCACGAGGATGAACAAGTAATAGCTATAGGGATACATTCATCCCCATGTATCTCATGATGCCTCTAAAAGGCCATCCGACAGACGCGGAAGCGTTCCTGTCAGACCCACCACGATATCTGAATTTCACATTTCAAGTTCTATTTCTCAGAGCCAAAAAAAATAAAAACGATGTCTGGAAATCAACCCCCACCTTTTAAAGCCCATAAAATCCTGACTTCCCGCCCACGCAAAGCAGTAGAAGGACTTGGAATGGACTCTCGCAATGGAGGGAAGGCGGCATGGGCAAGCGCCACGGAGTTGAGAAAGCTACCCTCCACGGTCGAGGGTAGGTTTCTCAACATGGTCGATGAGAAATTTTGCTATTTTTGGRATTTTTAGTCGCCGTCTGCTGTTCCCCGTTTCTCGTATACTGTGTCAGGCACTTCTTCAGTGCAATGAAAGCCGTAACTGTCGTGCGTGGGCTCTATAAGGCCTCGCTCCGTTGCTCACCACATGCACAAACAAAAGAAAAAAGAAAGTCGATGTATGTTTCCGTGTTCTTGCCTATATTCATTGCTCTTTGGACCCACTTCCACGTCCTGGTGTTTCCACATCATGGGGCCTCGCTGCACTACTCTCGACATGCACGAAACACAAAAATCATGGCAGTGCATCTTTCCATATTCTAGGGGAAGATTCACTCTCGTTTTGCACATTCCGAGAGTAGTGCAGCGAGGCCCATATGGTACTTCAAGATACGCAGAATCCTCGACAGAAACCACTATTTTCGCATCATTTTCTTAAAATGAATAAAAACTGCTACGAATAAATCTGAAATACATTTTTGGATTTAAAAAATGCCGTAAATGGTGTCACACCGTTGAGGTTTCTCAACTCAACGGCCGTAGGTGGGACCAGGCCCCAGATACCACGTACCGGAACTGCTCGTCCCTGGCCGTTCGTCCTGTGATTTTTTTTTTATTTTTTTTTTTGGTGAAAACATCTCTCTCTCTCTCTCTCAATCTACGGTCGAGAAAAACAGACGACTCCCGCACGGGCCAAATTAGGAAACCAAACTACTCGAAAGCGAAAGCTTCGGCTGGTTACCAGGGAGGCTTTCCTAAAATAGAAAACAGAACAGCCCCCAGAATCTCGGGACTATCTTCGGTATCCTGTTTTTCTCTCTCATTCGGGATGTGACTTGCCAATTCGGTCAATTGGCAAAAATTCCACTTTGCAATTTAGCAGCATTACCCTTCCTGGCCCTTACTAAAAGAATTCAATTTGATTTGCTTTCCCTTTTTTTTTTTTTTTTTTTTTTAACAATTTCATTTGCTTTCGATCATAAACTACTGGGGAAACTGTGGCTGTTCAAAAAAAAAAAAAAAAACAAGAAACTGTGCCTGTGACACACTTTCAGTTGTCCTTCGGGACGTCCGTTCAAATTGGAACGGAACGATACAGAGAAGATTAGCGTGGCCCCTGTACTGTACAAGGATGACACACTTTCAGTTTGAACTTTGAACTTTGAACTTTGAACTTTGAAAAAATAGAAGCCAAGAAATTCAAGAAAAGACAAAGTGACGCTGGTGTCAATGACATGGTGTGAGTGTCGAATTGCGCAAAGTTTAATTAAGCCAAGTTTAGCGCGGTCTAAAACTGCGCCAGTCATTATTACCCCCAGTGGCCCTTGGCAGATTTAGGGGGGGTGGCCTTTTTTGCACCATAATTTCGGGAACTGCTAAAGTTGCCTATTGTGAACCTTGGGTGTGACGCCGACGTACTTGCCCCTAAACGAATTCATTCTAATTACAAACATACCGGTGCCAAACAAGTGCTTTGTGAACAGGAGCTCACATGATTGAGAATAGAAAGTTGCAAAACGGCGTGTTCATGCAGTGTACGGCAATGCGCATAATAAGAATACGCATGCACATGCATTTAATGTAGACGTAAATAGATTTACGTAAACGGATACGAATCACAATTTGAGTATATGAATCCCATGTGACAGGCAATATCTCCCATGCTAAACCACACACACACACACACACACACACATACACACACACACACACACACACACACACACACACACACACACACACACACACACACAAACACACACACACACACACACACACGCGCGTGCGCGCGCACACACACACACACACACGCTGCCACGCACGCACGCATATGACAGACTAGTTTCTCATACTTACCCGCAGTCTGCTAGGA